GGGGACGGGGGCAAACGCAGTCCCGCAGCCATCGCTGCATGACCGGACCGCGGTCTGGCCGGAATTTCATTACACGACCGGAAGTGATGCGGGGAAAGGGCCGAGGTGGGGCGTAGTGGGGGAAGTGACCAAGTGACCCCTCCCCCCCTCTCTCTCTCTCCGAGCCCACGCGAGTAGCAAACTGTTGTCCACAACGCGCGATTAATTAAACATCTCGGAAAAATCAACGGCAACGGAAAGGGGTGTGGGGGTCGAGGAGGTTACACTGTGAGGCGAGGTGGGGGGCGCGGTGGGGCGCGGTGGGGCGCGGTGGGGCGTGGTCGTGGGGCGTAGTGGGGCCTGGTGGGGCGTGGTGAGGCGGGCTGGGGCGGGGTGCGTGTCGGAGGCGACGGCGTGCAGCTGCTCCCTCCGAGGCTACATAGTTATTACCTGTTGGCATTACTCGCGCAAGATTTTAACGGTCGTCACTAAAAGGAATAAGGAGGAGAGAGGTTGAGGTTGAGGGCCACGAGGGGTAAAGGGGGAAAGGAGGGAGGAGAGGGGGAGAAAAAATAACGACGTCATTAGAGCGGGATTAGTTGCACGAGTTATGGCAGATTTGGCCTCACGCCGTTACTACGCGTGGGAACTAATCTAGCGAGGAAGTGCGGCCTCAGCGCGCGGCTATGTTGCACGCAGAGTGAAGGGGCTGAAGGGCCCTACGCACACCGAGAGGGAGAAAGAGAGACTGCTCTACATTTTGCAGAGAGAGGGAGAGAGAGGGGGAGAGCGAGAGACTGAACCAAAGGGACGCTTTGTTCGCCGCACAACCGCGCTCTGCGGTGCCGTAGCTCTCCCTGCCGCAGTCCTAACCTTTGCGACCACCCATGCCCGCCCGTACGGGTATCACCAGTGGGTCCGTCTGAGTGTGTGGTCGCCGAGAGTGGGTATCCGTGAGGGGGGCGTCGCTTCAGCCCCGTGAGACAGGAGGGCATATGGCCGGTAGGGCGGCACATCGTGAAAATGTTTATTAGTCAAATTTACAATATTTCTTGTAATGCCTATTTTGCAATCTATGTGGTTAACATACGACAGACCTGGGGCCGTCCGAATTCTCTTCCGACTGAACCCGGACGGTTCGGTTCGGTTTGCTCTGCGACCGTTGCCAGCCGCACCAGCCGCCATTTGGCTGACCCACCGACGACACCACGAGGGCCGCGAGATGACAGGACGCGAGTCGCTGGGATATGCACCCTTCCTACGACGGGGATGGCTCGCGAGGATTGTCCTGCGACCTGCGCTGTTTTTGTCGCGAATGTGTGGCTGCCCTGAGCGGCTGCGGCGCGGCTCGCCACGGCCACACTCTAAATGGGGAAAGGACAATCTTGTATCTAGGAGAGATGCCTTCCCCGGCTTTGCATCTCTCCTAGACACAAAATTGTCACTTTTCATTTAGAAATTTTGGGTCAACTATACGTATATCAACGAAACTAGTCTCTTGGGTCCGTCCCAATAAGATACAAAATCGGAAGAGAATTCAGACGGGACGGACCCAAGAGACTAGTCACGTTGATATACGTATAGTTGCCCCAAAATTTTTTAAGTAACGTTATGATGGAAAACTCAAATATTTTTCGCAGTGCAAAGACAGGGCCCAGCGCGCACACTAGCAGGCCGTATCGGCAGATAATGTTTCCGAAGGGCTTACCGACAGCCCTCCTGTTCCCTTCTTCTCCGGCCAGCCTCCGCGCCCTCCGTCTCCCCGACGCCTTCCCCCGTCGCGAGCACCGGCCATGCCGCTCCCCCCCCCTTGCCGCCCCTTTTGCGGAGCTGGGGTGCAAATCCGGCTCCCTCTTTAACGAAAAGTGAGGGGAATGGGCATAAAAAAGGAAACAGAGTAAGGTCGTTGGCTTCTGCCTCATCTCTCCTTCCTGCGCCTCGGCCTAAGGCGGGGAGCCCCTCCACACACACACACACACACACACGAATGCAAACGCAGCCAGCTCTATATAGTGGAACAGCGCGGGTGGGCGCGGGGGTAGAGTTGCTAGGCTAACACCCGCCCGCCCCGGATCCCTCCGCGGCGCGGCGGTGGCGTAGCAGCCAGCAGCTACTAGCGCCGTGCCAGAGAGGTGAAGATGGAGATTTCAGAGCTGCGGCGCGCGATAGTGAAAGAAGGGCAATGCGAGTGCACGAGACACGACCAAAGATAATGTAGTAACCAGCGACGATGCTATATGGACTTCTGAACAACATTGGTTTTTACCACCCTTAATTCTTAGTCATTTAGCAAAATCGCCACCTCTCCGGTATGTTCAAATTATTTCAGTGAATGTATATTTCTTCTACATTTTGTTTGACAAATACATATACTGTCACAAAACACGACCCGTTTTCCAAGCGATGTATAGAGATTCTCCCAGTCGCTTACCGTCGTCGGGGTACCGAGGCCGCTTGTGGTCGAGGTCGCCGTAAGGGTCCTGGTCGTAGGGCGGCTCCCGCGGCGGCTGGTTCGTCTCCATGACGTTGGGCGCCCACAGGTTGGGCAGGCGCACCTCGACGGTCTTCTCGTCCACCATGTTGTACACGTCAAAGATGATGGCCGAGCAGCGAATCTGGGAATACGAAGAGCAAGTTTGTCCGTTAGCAAAGTGGTGCTCTTTGAAAGACGAGGAAATATGTCATACATGGTGGCTCCAGATCACGTTATAAAACCTTATATACGTTATAAGCCCAATTCCTCATAATATGAAGACTGCTCTTTGTAAGGAACTAAGAGTGTAACGACGAAGAAATGGGGTTATGTGGGCCACCAAGTATACTGAAACACATGTTTGTTACATTATGGAAACTACTCGTTGGTTTATTTCAAAAAACGACGTGTTGCGGCGGATGGGGGGGGGGGGGAGTTAGGGTTTGATACGCCGATCGATAGGTAATAAATGGATGCCCCCAGTCGAGCCCTGCCCGGGTGCATGCAGCCCGCACGCGCGCGTCTCGAGTGTTCTCCCCGCCAGTAGTATATATAACGGCCACGCGGTCGATTTAACTGTCTCGGCCGTGAAAATAATAACAGACATTCACACCGCGCCGCGGCGGGATGCGCAGCCCGGCGCAGCCCTCCCGATAAAAGCCCGGGGGAGAGCGACGGAGCGAGCGCAGGGACCTCCGCTCCGCGATCGGCGTCATCGTGTCGACGTTGTCGAGGAGGAGGAGATGGGCTGCTCCCAGGGAGCTGAAGGGCTCTGCTGATCGCAAGGAGCGTGGTCGCTGCCAGAGTCGTATAGGGGCTGCTCCCCCCAGCGGCGCGGCCCTCCTGCTCCCCCAGCAGAGTCGTGGAGCTGCTCTGCTCCCAGTAGCGTGTAGTAGTAGTAGCAGCGACCCGGCGACACGTCGCGCAGGATTAACAAATATTTTTTTGAAGACGCTTCACAAGTCATTGTCAAACCAATCCGCTCTTCTTTTGCAAGGCATTTCCATTAGAGGAGAGGGGAGAGCAGGGGAGCGCAGGAGATGGGGAGGAGGGGAGAGATCGAAGGAGAGGGCGCCACCTCCATCAACTCACAGCCTTGTTTGGAGATCCAAATGAGACGGCTGGGGTGGGGAGGGAGTAGATGGAGGGAGGAGGGAGGGGAGAGGGGGAGGGAGAGAGAGAGAGAGAGAGAGAGGAGTGGGTTGCGTGGTACACAGTGGGCGGAGAGGGTAGGTGGGACGGAGAATAGGGAGGGCAGAAGGACAGCAGCAGCGGGGCATAGGGTGTCGTCCCCCGTGGGGAAACATGGTGGGGGTCGGGGGCACGCGTCAACGGGCGGAGACGGCAAAGTGAAAGCGAGTGGGGCGAGGGGGAAGGGGGAGGAAGGGCAGCGCGGACATTTAAGACGTAGCAAGACAAAACAAGCGGGTCGCTTGGGGAGGAGGGCCACGGTGCAAGCAAGGTCGCGTAGTGGTGAACCTCTTAGTTGAGCGAAAATAAAACAGCTCTCACTGAAGAGTTACTCTCTGTAACAACATGCACGTGTATAACAGTTGTTACATTTATAATTTTACGTTACCGTCGTTACACAAACTGGTCTATGTAACGAAAGTTGCATAAACTAAAATCCGTGACAGCTGTAACACTGCTATTTATGCTCGGGAAGTCTAGCTATATATTTACAAAAATAATTTTGTTACAAAAAGTAACAAGTGTAACACCTGTTACTGAAATTAATTTGTATCAAACTTTTACGTAAAATAATTTATATATTCAATGTTACAAAAGCACACGAACGTAACAAAGAGCATTTGTATTATGTTGCATAAAGTGATTTTCAGTGCTGATAAGGATCTTCTGATAAATCTTCTCGTAGACATTTCAGCTCCAAAAAATTCGCAGCATCCACGTGGTCCAGGCTGGTCAAGGTACGACGGTCCAGCGAAGAGGCAGGTGTGCCAGCTCCCATAGGGAGGACACGCGCGAGCGTCTCCGGTTACAGTGCGGCGCCACTCGGACCGCGAGGCCGGGGGCCCGGGCCCGGGCTACACGTGGCGGCACGTGATACAGCTCAGCCGCGCTCTGTCGCACCCTCCTGCTCGTCTGTACCCCTCCACGCAAACCCCTCTGCACCGCCGCCCCTTTGAGAGGAGAAAGAGGTGCAGCAGCAGTCTGAACGTTTAGTCGCGAGTTGACACAAAACGAGAGGGGACGTCGTCGGGGCTGTCGCCTGGACTGGGAGGGCAGGGCAGAGGGGCTGGGCGACTAGACACACCGTTCTCGACACTTTTCTCCATAAACCCAGCAGAGCAACCTGTCCCTCGCTGCCTCGTCAACGAAACGTCCCAAAAACGTAATGAAATTTTTAGGTCTCTTAGGACTGGGTCACCAAGTGAAGTGATACGTGTGGCAATACGACTGTTTTAGATAGCATATTCTATGAAGTATGACATAGGGCGTGGGTTGAATTGTTTGGATACAGTATCGACTGACACCTTATAGCCCCCTAGCGAGTAGGCTACCCACCCACACCTGTACCCGTCCCGTGCGCGTACGATACAGTATAACTCCGAGATCCTGCCGCGGGTTCCGACCACCTGTGCGTCGTGCGTGGGCCGCGCGAGCACGTCTTACTTTGGCTCCCCGCAGTTCCGACTCGTTCAAAAACTCGCGCGCGAAAACGAACGTGGGCGGGCTGGGTCACGTGACGGGCCGGCGCGCGCTGGCGGGGCTCCGCCACCATCTTGATCATCTTTCCCGTCACGTCGCACACGGGCCGCAGCAGCAACGCGCGGCGCAGCCCTTTTCCCACCCCGCCACGCCAAGAAGATTAAAATTACTGCTGAAGCGTCCTCATAAAATGTCCCATGAGCGTTTTCTGCAGTCACGGGAAATCACGCTGAGCAGTCACTTAGAGGTGCCGTCCGGGAGAAAAGCAGAAGAAAGTGGAAATAGAGGGG